TGGTTTGTCTAAAATAATAATTTCGTACCACTAGATAGGTAAATATGAAATGTACTAAATTCTACATGAAACTGTAAGCTTCTTAAAGCAAAAACAGGTCACTGTAATGTCTCAACTCTGAGAACAATTAACTTTTGGGAACATTTATGAAATTAAATGAAGGGGAACTGTAATGAAAGTGACATACGTGCTATATTCCATTATGTTTTACTAACCGAGATTACTCTCAAAAGTATAATAAAGAGTTCATTCAACTAAGTAATTATAAATCATCGTAGTAAATGCAAAGACCTTCTTGAAACCTTTAATTTAAGGAATAATATATTTTATACTGATATTTATTTTGTATAACCATATAAACCATATAATATTTAAAACTAAATTATTAAATTCAAATTTGGAACGCCACGCATTTTTGTTGTTTTGTTTTACTTTATATACATTTTTTCACTACTTCTTGAACAGTCCATGACGGTCACTATTAAATTCAGAGTACATTAAATTCTAACCATTTCTTATTTCATTATTATAACAACTTAAACCTAGCAATATTCCTCCAGCAAACAGTAGATAATAGTTATTCTAGTAGGACAGAGAGAGGATATGTCTATAAATAGATAAACATAAAAGTATGTCGAATTATTTTTATTACTTTTTCGTATATTGACGGCCTCGGTGGTCACCGGTTTACTACCGAAGGTTGCGGGTTCGATTCCCCGCACGATGCATACATTTCTATTCATGAGTATGGTTATTTGAATCGGTCTGGGTGTTTTCTATATATGTACATTATGTATGTGTTTACAAAAAATATTTTAGTATTTAGTAAGTTGTCTAATACCCATAACACAGCTCTGCTTACTACCGTGGAACTAGATGGCACTGTATTAATTGTCCAGGATTTTTGTTTATTATTTGTTATTATATATCTTTCATTAATTAAAAAGTACAAATTAACAAAGAGAAATGGAAAAAGAATATTCTCTCTCACGTACTCTCTACATAGAAAATAGACATTCTTGTAGAAAATTAGACTGAGCGAGAATATAATTTATATGCACTACAAAAAAAAAAATTCTATTACATATTATATACATATGTTATTTTTTTATTTTATATATTATATATATTACGTACCTACAAATCATTACAATATTCAAGCATAATATATTTATATCATATAAAACCATAACATATATATTTTTTAATTTGATACATTCTAAAACCGTATATGATATACGCTCTCATAAAGATAAAGTACCAATAAAATGAACTCAAAACCCATAAAGTTAAGACGGAGCGTGCCAGATGTTACATGTTATTAGATTATTTTGATTAATAACCCCTTCCGATGACAAAATTAATATTTACTTAAGTACTGTGTATTTTTAATTAGTAGATACACTAGAAACCCAAACCCTATTCTTTACCAACCACACCAGGAAATTCAACTATTGGGAGACCATTTATTATTAGACTTTCTATCGATCAAGTAACATTTAAAGACAATTTTTTTTTATGATTTTGATAAAAAGTATACTCATATTTTGAGTATTTGTAATTCAAATTTCGAATGTTTTTAATGGCTGTTTACATTTTTTACATTTTGATTTTGTTTTAGAAAACAAGTTTAAAATATTTCGATATTTGTTTACATATATTCAAAGAACGAATATTTTTTCTCGCTTTATAAGTTAAAAAATAATAGCATACGTATCGCTTGGTATTTAATTGAAATCGATTTTTTGTAAATAAAATTGAATCGGCTTTAGAATATTATTTTATTTTCATGATTTCAGAAATAAATCAAGTTTATGTTCTAGAGTTCTAGATGGCAAAGGGACTACTCTTTGCCAGATTTGACTTAGAACTCGTATGTACATATATACGTTGCGTATATTAGAATCTTAGTTGAACAACAAATAAATATTTCTATTAGTGTTTTGAAAGGGAGACTTCCTTTAATAAAACTTTCTGTAAATAGATGCGTCTCATTCACATTGTCATGAACAAGTTTGTGGTTGTTTTTTTAGTCGTTCGCCAACTTTCCTTAACTTAGAGCATCCATCAATTGCTTTCTATATTGATCAGAAAATTTATACTTTTATCGTTCACCGTATAATATCCAACCCACTAAAACTTTGTTGACAAACTTTTTCATTAACTAAATATTGAACAAGGAGTTTTCTCAGTAGCTTTGAACCTACAAGGCATACAGTTTTTATAAATAAATGAACAGCATCATACTTTTAGGTGGAGGAAGTTAAGTCCTTGTACTCCTGTAAGAGGGCTGTACCTTATTTTAGGCTCATTCATATTTCATAAGGCTATTCACATATAAATCAAGTTCGAAAGCCCTTGAGTGTACTATAAATAGCAATCAGGTTTTTCCTAAAATATTAGTATTACAAACCATTATAAGAAAACATGCAAATTGCTTCGATATTTTTTTTATATTATTAGACGTAACAGACACTTTCGTATTTATAATATTAATAATATGGATTAATATACTAACATATTTAAGTCAATTATATAACCCACACCACTTCACAATAGGTAGGTACATACAGAGAAAGGATTCGTTCGACATCACAGCAAGCTGAAATAACAAAGCGTTACAAGGGCACACATGATTTCCTTCATAAAACAACGCCGTAAACAATAAAAATGGGCCACTTTATTATGTTGCCAAGAAATAAATCACGCGAACATAAACATATTAAAAATAGATGACCGCTGAATTGTTTGAGATTATTTTAATAAGTTTTTAATAATTTTCATGAAAAATGCAATTCCGGGTATGCCCTACCCGGAATACTCAGTGTCTTTATTAGACATATTCTACTTAAGGGAGGCATTTAATAAAATTGTCATTTTTAGAAGAAGAGACTTATTAAGTAGTACTTAAGGTAACGCTCGATACCTTAGTGTAAGTATGTCAACGAAATCAACCAAGTTCTTCATAGAAGCACAGAAGCTTCTTTGTATCTTCACAGGGTCGGAGCTACCTCATTGTTCCTAAGTATTGTGTAGTTGAGCAGTCAATTTATGCACTCCAGCATTATCTAAACGGTGGATCAAAGCAGCCGTAGCAAAAAGGATTGTCTGTAGCTCTTGCTGCATCGTGAAATGTGTATTTTACGACCTGTTTTAATACTATTTTTGTTAGCCGTTGATTTATCATTGGATTTTGTTGATTTACCGCAACCATTTTGGATTATTTACAATCAATGGATTGTTACTACCTAAGACTATAATTAAATGTTAAAAAAGGAGGAATATTTTTGACTTTAATAATTTATTATTAAAGTTTAATAATTTATTATTATTATTGTAGTACATGACTAAATAATATAGAGGAAAGATTTCATTTTTTTTATTAACAATTTATTGATAAACTGAAAAATATTGACTTAATTCTTTTTAAATACTTTCGTCGATGGAGTAACTTTCCATATGAAAGTTACTCCATCGGCGAGTAACTTGGGCTGTATTTCGCGCAAACCAGTGTTGTGGTATTAGGTTAGTTTTGTATAATATACATAAAAGCAGAAGAAAAATTTATTAAATCAATACTATAATTAAGTTATACATGTAACTTAAATATCAATACTTTTACTATAGCTATTTCTGTCTAGCATTAAGTCGGAACAATTTTCGGGAATCGTGTCCACAAGTGTTTGCTAATCCTAAATTTTGGTGTAAGGTAATTTATTTATTTATTACTTAATTACAGTAGTAAATAGACGATGGTGAATTCCCTTACTAAGCTCACCAACGAAATTAAACGCGAAGATAAATAACATAACCACACTTCACTACTGAAGTCGCCCGGGACTAATGTGTCATTTTGTTACCAAACAGATGGGGTGGGACCTTTAACAGATTGTTGTTCACAGAATTCCTGACATCTCCACTAATAAACAAATTGGCGCGCTCATTCGGTTATCTCATGCTAATTTGATTTGGAAGTTTTGTGTTCAAGGTCTATTAGACTGGGTCTTGGGAAATGTGTGGTGATATTTGCCATGTAATATAATAATAGAGCACCGTGTCTTAGATAACTACCCTGACGTATATCCACCCAATAGTAGCGACTTAAACTTTGGCGAACACAAAAAACTTTGTATTAATTTATATTATAACTGATTTAGATATTATCTCTCCTGATGGTAACACTGATAACAAACAGGGTTAATCAGAGAGACCGTGGCATATTTCTTAGATTAAATAAAAATATAGCAAAGTGGCCATATCAAGTAATACGTTTACCACGATGTCGATATTTGGTTTCTGTCATCTAGGATTATCACAACGATGACTGTGAGTGATATAATATGACAAATAGTTTCACGATAATTAATTTTCATTTATCATCCCACTTACCTTGTAATGTTATATTCAAAATTCTTTACTAAATGAAGTATTTTTAATATTAGGTCACTTAACTTTTTTATTCAAAATACAATTTCATTCAAGAAGACCAAGTGACATGACTGTTGCTCTATTTAACAAAATTTCAACTCCCATTTAAAATTTTCCGTAAATACAAGCAAAGAGCAATATATCAAATGACAAAAGTATTAAATCAAAATACGTGAGTATAACAAGTCATACATAGTCAACATATCGGACCAGTATTAGGTATTTAAGTATACCATATCAGCACCTGTTCACGATATCACGTATATACGAATACACAGTGCTGTGTGTCAGACATAGACTAAAGATAGCGTACTTAACAGCTTACAGGATAAATCGTTCACTGTGTAAGCTGTTAGTCTTTGAAACAATTCACCTGTATCGATACGAAATACTCTGAAGTAGGTACCTCCGCACTTTCTAAAGAGTTTTAAAATGTTAAACCATTTGCTGAATGCATCTTCACTTGTTTTGGCTAGCAATACGTAATATACATTTATAACCATATATAAATATTGTCAAATATATTTAACGATTGAAACAAATTAATGTTTAAAACATTTATTATTTCTCTTTTATACCTGACACAAGTTTTACTAATTCATGCTTTATAAATGGTAAAACATATAATAAATTTAAATATAACAACATAATTTTATAATTAAAATACGACATCGAATTAAAAATAATCTATATTTGGTTATCGCAATAGATTTGTAATAATTAATAGGATTAAAGGTAAAATAAGAAACATAATTATGATTTATAATTAATTAAACATTAGAGAACTTAGAATAAGAGACACAGAGCGAAGTAGATAGAGATTTTTATAAAATTACATCATATAATTATCTTTACAAAGTTCTTTCTATTAACACATTTATGCATCTTACTTATTAGAAATTGAGACGCTTAAGGCACAGCGAAATTACATCTAACTATAATGTACATATTGTACAATATTACAGACACTGTTGGTAACAATCTTTATAATACTCCTAACTTGCAAATTGTGATATGTACAAAAATATTTAATGAAATCTTTACTATCTAGCATCTGTTTATATCATTAATGAAAGTTATGATGAAATGGAAATCTAAACATTTAGTAACATAAAAAGTAATCGCAATGATAGTGAATCACTTAGAGCACCTCAGTATACCTACAAATAATTTAAAACATGCAAAACAACACAACTTTTTTAACTAATAGAAGATTGTATAGAAATTTAGATAACACTAAATTACGTCTGGACTCCACTCACTTTCTGAAAAATATAACATTGGCACGATTTCACTATAGTTCATTCTTAATAATAGATTATATCGGTTCCTTTTCTAGAACCGATACTCCTCAAATCAAGCATGCGTGTTGTCTCTTCTTTGCCTTTCTAGTTGCTTTCTGTGATTGTGCCGTTTCCTTGCAATTATTGCTATTAATATGACTATTATAGCTAAAACAACTGCAATACCTATCCACCAATAAGTGTTGTAGGATGCCTCTTTTACATCTTTACTTTGGTCCCCAGAATGTACAGGATTCTTAATTTCTAATACACCTACTGTTGATGTTTCTGCACCGAATTTTGCCAACAGATCATCTATACCAGTGTCTATGACATTCTCTAATAAATCTTCATGAGTTTCATCTTTGATGGTGGCTTCAGTTTTTTCACGACTAATTTCAATAATTTCATTTTCTTCGGGTGAAGGTTCTGTAACTGGTTCAATGTAATCATCACTAGATTCTTTAGGCGGATCCAACTGTCTATCTAAGTAATCATCTAACAACCGATAGTAATCTGTAAGTCCTGTAAATTCCAATCCATTTTCACGTGTTGCTAACAACTCACTAATCATTTCCGGCCAAGGTCTTCCAAAGCCTTGCATCATAGTGTTACTGTAAACAATAAATATATTTATGTACTATACACTTTTTTAATAATATTCAATTATAATAAGAAATAGTATTTGTTTACCTAATACGTTCATTATTTTCACTGACATGATTTACTAAATCATGTTCATCAGATATCAGTTCGTCAGCAAACGAGTGGTAGATTTGATACTTTAGAATTAGGCCCATGAATTTTCTGTAAAGCAAAATAAATATTAGTTAAATAATTTGTTGGAGTTAAATTGTATTTTTGAAACTCAATTAAATTTAAATAAGCAAGCTTACCCTATAAATGGTTTGTTAAATAAAATATAAGGGTCTCCTAGTAAATCGATGTCAGATGTTTCCAACAATGAAAACTCTTTGCGAAACTCACTCCAACTACTAGGTATTTTAGAGTACGGAATCAATCCCATCAAAACTTTTAATCTCCACTCATCGGCAGCTAAATAAAAATTTAATCTGAAAATAAATAATTTCTGTAAAAACTCGCTTCTTTTAACACAACATTAGAAAAGTCTATATAATAAATGTAATGGGGTATAAGATAAAATATAAGTGAACATTTTTAATAATTTTGCAAGTACAAACATAGGATATTTCTCCAATCTTATTCATGTTATTTTGTAGCTAAATCATAAAATTACACAACCCCAAGTAGTATATTAGTAACACTTACTTCGGCAGGTCTTGTAAAGCTGTTATAAGTTGCAGAACTAGACGATGATGGTTTGCATTATAGCTGAATACATCTAATGGAAACAGTCCACTCCTGTTTAAAGCATGTGGATTTAGAGCTAGCAATGAAATGAATCCTGGAATTGCCTCGAATGTTGCTGAAATAGATATTAAATTCATTACATACATTTATGACTACCAGGATCAGAGACTTCTAGAGAAGTTAATAACATAGTTATATTAAAAATCGTGAATTGTTATTTTTCTACTTATATACATTCAAAGTTCTTCGAACTTTCATGTAATTTAATACTTATAATAATAACAAGTGAGCAGTTGCAACTCTGCTGCTTTATTAAGGCAAATATTAGTCTAAGTTCATTCAGGTGATACAATCTATAATCACATCAAATTTCACTATATTCCATAATCCGTTTAGACTTGAAAAGATAGCTTTCATTATATAATTTTAATTTTAATAACAGTATATAGATTAATAGAATATTTACCAGAGTAACGGGGGGCTTCTCTAAGAATATAAGTATTATTGCTATGTACTGCAGCTATTTCTTTATATTTCATTTTCATAGCTGCTTCATGAGCGTCAACGTAGTTCACAAGACTAACATCTTTACATGACACGATCCGTACTTTATTAGGTTTGCACCAATCTAACAAAACTGGCGGGCAAGTACTGTTAAATATTGAATCTGTCCATAAATCGGCTTCTAATTCACCTAGTTTTAATTCTTCGATCAAGTTGAATGCTGCTTTGAATGCATTTATACCTCCAAGATCCTGCAGAAAAAAAGATTATATTAATAAACTATTCATCCGTCTCAGCTTCGCACTGGTCCATAAAAATGTGCATCAGAACATGCATACATAAACTTTTATGACTTGTTAAATCACTCGTATCATCTCAAACTCGTAGTTCTGGAACAACCTACAAAGGAAGTTTACTATTCCCAATGTATTTTTCTCGTAGATATAAGCATACAGACAACGACGGGAATTTTGTTTTCTAATAAGTAAAAATAATAAAAAATAGATTGTCTGTAAGAAATATAAATAGACATAATATTTATTGAAATAAACTTAACTAATATAAGCACTTTTGAATAGTCATATTATTTATCCTACAACATCAGATCACTCATTCGGAACGCATACTCATCACAAGAAGAACGAGCAACAAACCTTTATTATTTTATTTTACAGATTTATTTAACCAATGAGCGGGCCATTAGTTAAGTATATTTATACAAAGTTTTCTTTTTGTACTTCTTTTTTCAGTGCGCAATAAAAAGTTATATCATTATGTAATAATAGATGCTATGGGGTAATAATACGATGTTGTCGGTTGAGAGGATGTATGTATATTACAGATGAAAATGAACTGACCAACCGTACAAAAGCTTTTGCACATTTGATAATTAGTGTTTACTTTTATATAGGAACGGTACTACGAACATCTGGTCATAATGATATGCCGGTATTACTCCTCATATTTTATCAGTTTGGTGGACTAAGGTACTCTACATACTCCGTATTCTGTAACTTCATCACTATATCTTACAACACAACCAACACAGTCAGTGAGATATCCACACAGACGACTTTGTATGAAATACCTATATATCTATAAAATTATAGCACACCGCATCCATGTATTAGAAAGAATAACAACAATGTAGTAAAATTATATGTGTATAATATAACAAGACACATATCAAAAATTTATTGACAATTCGGACAAAAAACAGCGGCTAGCCATGTAAGTCCCGTGGGAACCTAAGCCTATTGAGTTTCAATCGCTTACAATTTTATATGGGTCGGTTTTACGGTTGTTTTCTTTTCTGTTGATGCGTGTTTAAGATCCGTATAAAATGTGCAACGAGGTACTTTTATTTGGAAATAAACTATTAACCGTTTGGGTGAAAGTAAATTGTGCTTGATTAAGTATATTTTTATATACTTCTTCTTGACATTTAAAGCAGAATATATTTCCTCATATAGGCCTATTACAGACACTTATGATAAGTGAAATGTACGTAGTTCGATAGAGAGAAGATTCTCTCAGAAGATCGGAGAGAAGATCAGATGATCTCACTCTTTTTAAAAGTGAATGTAAATTATCTTAATATCATCATAAAAATAATACATATCAAAGCTTAGTTTAAATAGAGTTACCACCAGCAAATCCTCTTAAATTAATGTCACTAAACAAATAATTTAATTAGCACTTATAACATGAACTGACCAGACCTACAAGTAGCATCCGTTCACAATTAGGACGGATGAGTCAATCACCATTGAACTCAACCATATTAGAGTATATTCTGTTTATAATGTCGGTTTTACTCTCAACCCTCAACTGATTATTAGCATGTAGAAATGCAGAAAACTAGGGTGTTTTTTGAAGTACAGACCTTGTGCGTATTTCAATAGGTAAGTATGAAACGGACTGAACTGACGGACGGAAGACTGAACTAGTTCAGTTCTTAATTTCTAATGTTAACATTATTGTAAATAGTATACTTTATAATAATAATTACCTTAAGCTGAAGATTTGCTTGAACTTTCTGGTATATTGCTGGATGTTGAGGTAACAGGCTCTCTATAATATTTGACCAGTCATCACCGTTTAAAGATTCTGTAAAGAAACAATAAAAGCCATAGTATTCAAAGACATATGAGAAACGAGGCAAATCCACTGCTTCACTTATAATTTTACTGGAAATACCTTTTTTGTGGGAAAATTAGATTTCTTATTGTGGTAAGTTCTGGAACAACCAAGGAAGTTTAGTATTCCCAATGGCATTGCGCGCCAAATATTTTACGTCTTTGGCAAATCGCCTTACTGTTACTTCTGTGGTTTAACGCCGGTGAATGCGGCTCGTACATAATGTATAATGTTGTCTAAAGTTTTAGGAAGTAATTCTGTATCAAGTAAATTATGGAAATGATCCTATACTTGAGACTTTCTAACTAGCTAGTAGCTACATTAGCAGTTTTATAAATAGTAAAGTCTAATGCTAGTGTCAATAGAAGCAAACAAGTTGAGACAAAACAGATAGGTCTTTAGTATAGAAATAAGTATAATATATAATATTGAATAAAAGGTACTATTTAAACAAAACCAATAATAAAACATCAAGAAAAGAGGACAAGGAAGTCTCTTATTTAAGTAAACAAGACGTTAATCAAAATGTATAATAATAAAAAACAAAATAAAAATATACTATTCTCCGTAAACATTTGTGTGTTCGTCGTAAGTTCATTAAAGAGGCTGCATGCAGCATGGATCACGTATAAATCGTTACAATCGTTACAATTTTTGTATTTACCAGTTGAATATGCAAAGGAAATAAATTTTAATTAAAAAGTTTAAAAAGTACTCACTCAATAAATGAACAGGCAAAGGGTTCCCCACAGCATCAGATCCTTTCAATCTCAGAGAAACGTATTTATGTAGTTTTATATACAGAGGTTTTATGTTATCCCACAATTCTCTCGCCTTCAGTAGAGCACCTTCGTATTCCACAAGAAAGTTCCAATAGTCTTCTACAGACTCGTGTTCTAAAAAAATCCAATTTATGTTATGATATTTTAAAAAACAATAATAGAATTTCATATTTCAGTATTGTAGTAGGTTTAGCACACAGGATGGTCGTGGATTCGATCCCAGCACAAAACAAACATTTGAAGATATAATACATGCACTTGCTTAGTTAATAATAATATTAACTAACTAACTAAGATTAGAATAACTTTAGTCAGTTACCGTAGATATTTTTTCGACAAACATATTCTCAAGGAATCGCCTTCACGCAGCTAAATCCACAATAAATTACTGGCTAGTTCAGCAATAAAAAATTGGGCTATTTATTTGAAGTAATAATTACTCAAAATTACGATGTCATAAAACAAACAATATAAATGAAATTAATTAATATTCATTTCATTTATATCATCATATTTTTCCCATGAAAACGCCGTTAAAAGTTCATTAGCTAAAAGGGTTAGAGTTTACATTTATAATGCCTTATTTTGAAAGATAATTACAAACCCTTTCGATTAAGAGGCTTTGATGAATATTTTGTTTTACTTTTCTTAGAAACTTATTGCTTGGCCGTTGCATTGATAAAGTTTATGAAAACTAAATAATTAATTTTTGAAGAGATTGAATGCAAAGAATTTTATAAATAATATTAATATTGAAACTACAAGACAACGGGCCCCTCCCTTAACTGTTGAAAATAATTTGACACTGTTTTCAACCGTCCGATGAAAGCTTTCTATTCAATGGTATTTTATTGGTCTAGTATTACAATACATATAACTACATAATTTATTTGATGATTTTTGAGAGTCATCATGTGATAAATAAATTTAATTATAAGTAAATTTATAATACACAATATTACAATAACATTAATTAATTGTTTGTAGTAGTTTTTGATTATTTGTAATACTTTATGGTACAGTAAAACACTTCATATGAAAGGATACGACAATCTTAAGTAACATATTGTACAATAGCGGACTTGTACCAGATGAGGGATTTCTTCTAGGCAACTTTTGATGACGGAGAGGAATTGTGGACAGGTGTAAATAGTAGCTTCTACATGAACGTATGTCTGATACCTATCTTTGTTTTCTATCATTTATGCGTAGATCATTTAGTGATAATAATTCGTACGTACATACAATTTCAAATATCATTTAGCTATATCAGGCAAACATAGATTGAGCGTATTAATTAATCCATGATTCGGAAATCAATTATACCTAATATTACATAATCATTAATTAACTCAATGAAAGCTAACAACAGACTCGACATGTTACGTCTGTGAAATGAGGGGTAACTGTATAACTACCTAATTATAATTACTGAATCAATGATAAATAAATATACTTACCGTTTTCCTTAGAAGCATTTCGCAGCAGTGGCAAAATTTGTTCTAAATACTCAGTCATGTCAGGAAGATTTTGCTCCCACGATTTCTTCATAGAAATTAATGTTTCTTCATCCTGCTGCCTGGCCAGGCTGCTCTGCAATTCTGTGGATTAACGACACTTTGAATAAATCTCATATACCAAAAAAAAACATTTTGTCGTCTATTTATTGGTATAAGGTAACTTGAATATACCGTTTCTCATTACGATAAAACTGTCAATTTGTAACTTGCCGCGTGGGACGGTTATAGGGTATAATGGTAGATACCACGTTGTATTATAAAATGTATTTGTGAGAACATTTCTGTAATCTACGATAATAATATGAAGACGAAAGATTTGTATCTTCGTATGTTTATGACGAATAAACGTAAAAATTAACAGACCGATTTTAAAAAATCTTTCTCCATTACAATACTACTTTATAGCTGAATAACATAGGCTATATGTACTACTAGAAAATATTAGGAATACCTACTAAACTTCATTGATGTAACTAAATGTGTAAAAATTAAGCATAAAACCTTTTACATTTTGTATATAATTACATTTTACGTATGAGCTACGTAAATGCGAATCCGGGACGGGTCGCTAGTCTTACAGAGTACAAGGGTATCAATATGCATTGTACCTACTTATAAATATATTATTGATTCTAACATTAAAAATATTTTTAAGTTTCCAAAAGAGCAGAAGTGACATTTCAAAGAGTTTTTTCGACTTTCACAAAAATGCATTTTTTATTTATTTTCAGTTATATATTGCGTAACGTATTAAAGCGTGACCAATTATAATAAAATAGCCAAAGGATCAGTGAGTGAGTGGTAATATACCGCACACCTGATAGGTAGCGGGAATTATAAATAAATAGTTATGATGTGATGATTATTATGTAACATACATAGCACTATATCTATTTACAGTATATCATGTATCATGAACCTATCATGGAATATTTATAGGGTATCGCTTATATTTACATCAAATCAGCCATTAAAATGGTAATGAACTGGATGCCGGGAGTTCACGGCGTCGTCGTCCGTGTGAATAGTAATGAATTTGTGAGAAGGAAATTGAATTCCGTAAATACATTGTTGTGAAGTTCACACTAAACACTAAATATATCTCTAAGATATTAACCTTATCACTTTGTTAAGACCGTCTGAATGTTACTATGGTATTATTTTAAATAGCTATTGAAGACCTAAGTAACCTCTTTACAATATTTCAGTATTCCAGAATATGACTGTTTATATTAGACTGAATATTTCAATTATTACGATTTTATATGCTCTTTGCTTTATTATTATGCTTTTACAAAAAAAATATTTCAGTTATCTAATACCACTTGCTTAGTGTCTAATAGTTAACTATTAGATATCAATGTGTGAACAGGAGAGTGTCATATATTACTACTAGCTGTGCACGCGGTGTCAACCGCGTCAAATTGTGTCGATCTGATGACTATATGTTACCTATACACTATCTTACTGTAAAATTTAATTAAAAGCTATTCAGTAGATTTTGTGTGTAAGAGTAACAAATATCCATCCATCAATCTATCCATCCATACTCACAAACTTTCGCTTTTATAATAAAACGAAATTAAACGATTATGACTCGTCATATCTTCATCAAAACTAAACGGAATTCGAACATTTCTACACAATCAATAAGTTTTACTTCTACTTTCTCTTATGCAAATTTTAATGTACAATAATTATATATTTGATCTTTTATGCGTCAAGTAAATCGTCGAGTTAAAAATAGTTTTTTTAGAAACAGGGGTTCCAACCCCTATATTCATAAATGTAATTCCAAGTCCCACGTAACTTATTATTATATCCTTACAAAAGCTATTTCAGCTAACATGGAAACATCTGCTACACTCATCCATTGAAAAGTTAACCTAAACGACAGTTACCAATACTTTAGCATTTATATTAAAAGTTCTAAAGTTCAGCGGGTTTTTTAATGCTTCCCGTTTACGGATATGGTGTGTTCTGGTTCCCTTTCGTATTCCTCCCTATTGTTCAGTTTTCCGTAATTACAATTAATATACATTACAGAACTAGACTTGCAAATAACCTGCAGTATTTTTTTACTCTAAAGCTGTTGGCCGCAGCTGGCCTTTACAGCTTCACCGGACGATAAGGGGCGAGTGCAGATCGCATTCCAAACCAGCAGGACTTATGGAGCGGCTGAAAGCCAACTCCCGCCTGACAGCATGAAAGTGGTAATATTTACAGATGTAACAAAAAAAAACGATATGATGCGTACTCCTCATTTTGAGAACAGTAGTTGAGGCTCTTTACTCTGTAATTTTACTAACACAATATGTTCTAACATTTATTTCTACAATTTCGTTTTTCTTTATTATTCTATTCTAATGACAATGACGAACTCATATTGGGTTATAGGTAATAAGAATTATTATAAAAGAATTGGACGAATATTACAATTAATAGTTTAATTCTTTAAATTACACTACAGATATATATTCAGGGCATAAAGACATGACAGCTTAGTCTTCCAGAATGGCAATGCATGAGGAATACCACGAGCGTTACATGATATCTACAGTAACTGTGTAAGCCTATACACAGACATGACAGTTAACAAACTACCATATTAAAGAAAATTATAAGATATCTTTTACATTAATTTTGCGTTCTAAATTTGAGATAAAAGCTGAGTATACGAAGATACTAACTTCGAAACACTTCATCATAATCATAGTACCTAATAAGCTAAAGATACCGAGTTTATGTAAACTTTAAGATGAATACCGCAGTGTACAACTTTTAGTTTACTTAATAACAGATTTTGTATTAGATGTCTAAGTTTAGATAATGTAAAGTGTAGGTATTTTTAGGTAAATTTAGGTTTCTTAAACGTTTAATAGAGGTACCTACTATAAAAACATATGTCGTATTACTGCATCCCATAAAACTTTTCAAAACAATATTATACACTGGCCAAATAATGGTCGGTACTAATAGTTGATGTAATGACGTGTATATTAAAATTGTTTAAACCTTTTGGTTATATATTGGATTTACTTTATCATGCTTACGTATGTAATGTATAATGTATAATATAATGTATAAAAAGGTACAATAAAATGGTATACTTCTATATATACATATACATATAAAAACTTTTATAACTTTAAGAGATTGTAGTCCGAACCATCGGAAAGATTACAGACTACTAGTAATATATTCACAGAGAAAAGATTAAAAGCAAATGTCTTTTGTGATATGACCTACAAAAATGTTACTTTTTTATCGTTTATTTTGGATTATAACGAACATACAAAAGGTATGTTTTGCTGAGCTTAGTGCGAAAGAGACTGTTATGCGACGAATTCATAAATTAACTAGGTATATATAACAATAAAATTAAATTTATATTATGATATATAAGAAATTGTAAATTCTTAAAACGAAGTAGAAATATACAGTTATTATTAAATAAGCATCATTATAATCCTTTCATCGAAATGATAACTGAAACAGCAGTTATCAACACCATCTGAATAGCGAGAAAGAAATCTGCAGTATTTTTTCTTCGTAAAAATTACCCTAGCGCAGAATGAGAAATTAACTTTTTACACGACCATTCGTTCCGAGCATGGAGTTATTAAAAAGTTTCGTGTGCTTTATGAAATTTGTAATGACTTAAGAATTTATTCTGTGTAGTATCGTTTGGGTTTGTTTTATCCTCCCGTTTGTTTTCGTATTTTATTAGAACTCTATAAATTTGTTGCATTAGGGTTCAAATTACATTGTTGATCAGCAAAGGTCAGGAAATGTTAATTACGTTCTTTAGCTCATTAACTAGATCGCTGAGCTATAAATTATTCTTTACTTATACAGCCAAAGGAAAAAGCGTATTTTTAGCCTTCAGGCCGTCAAATTTAATGCGAACTTGTTCAAGTGTCATTAATTTGCGGAACGTGATCAAATTATAAATAACGATTTTTTGCTTAATAAATTATTTTTTCGCAGTTTTTTAATAGAAAAAGTTAACCAACTTTATGAAAAACAAAGTGGTAAGTAAAGAAAATGAAAAGTAAGAAAAAATCATGTAAGATTTAAAATACAATTATGCTGATTTTCTATCAGTAAAATTAACCTTGTTTATTTTGGATAATTGGAAAATTTTTGAAAAATAAATACATATTAAGTTGCTTCCTAATTTTCCACTTTCCGAAATAACTTTTACACTTGTTAAAACTTTAACTCTTCTACGTTATTAACTTGCGATAGATTTGTAAGCAAAATTACGATACAATAAAGCCTTACAGGAATGCTTTCAATAAATTCGTACTAAGTAAATTACGTAAAATACTAACGCTTACCAGCGTATATAAACCTACAGATATAAAGACGACCTTATGCCAATTGAGTAAGAGATTTATTTTTATATTACCTAATTATTTTGTTATTTTTTGTCACTCTTATATTTATAGATTTACTTATAACAAAGGTATATACGTGCATGAGTTATCCATTGACATGTATATAAACAAACAGATATACACATATCAGATATATAATATATATGTATAAGAAGAAACAGGGCCGTAAAACAAAAAACTGTATAACTGGCTACGTTTTGTGTTGAATAATGCAATCTGAAAATTAGACCATTTTATAAAATTACTATTAATTGCTACAATACGTTTTTTTTTTTCTTTCCAAACACAAGTACAAACAATGTACAGAAGAGATAGGAAGTACGATGGTAGCTACCCAGATAATAACAATTAATCTTATAAAAATGCAGCTAAGATGTACTTATGTAAATATACAAAACAAGCATATGAATAATATATTTAGACACATACCTCTTAGAGTACAGCTTCTGTTATTTCCGCAATCGTAATCAGTTGCAAAACGTATCCTGTGCAGAGCCGTGTTACCAAATGTCACTAGCTGCAACAAAAGCAATTTATTAAAACCAATCTCAACTTAAACATCGAACGATCCACTACCGTCTTACTACTTGATATTGGTCTCTCCTCATGCCATGATTACTTAGCCTAACACTACGACGCTAGCCGATTTTATCTCGAGATTTCCTTCTTTAGCACTTTATTTGTTCCCCTAGTCGCTTCTTAGGATATCCCTGAGATGAAATGGAGTGGTGATTATTTCCTTACTTTTTCATTGCACGAATCTAAAATAGAAAATCTCAGCGTTCTTAAAATAAAAGTAAATGAAATAGGGTAAAACTATATAGAGCACATCGGATGGACGGACTATCCGTCCATTAACTTATTATGGTCCCTTGATGGTCGCCTTCGAAATTAAGTTTTTCAGAAGAGGATTATACGAGTAGCGAGGATAGAAACAGTCGGATAAAAAATCATAAGATTCCAGGAACCGAAGTTCCGAAAGGTCGAAACCTTTTCTAGTAAATATGCGAGTAGATAACTGACGCAGTCCATTCCGGTGATTAGATATATAAAATGTTTATATATGTACAAATTATAATATTAGATATAGCAAGAACTTAAATATAGGGATAGTAAAAATCTATTGCTATTTTGCAGGTGATTAGTAGCAAAGATAATATGTTTTATGTAATTAAAAATAGTTTAATATCGTGGTTACAATCTTCGTAGCTTATAGGTATATATTTACTACTCCATATAGGCCTCTTCTCTACATATAAATATAGCCAGGAATACCAGGGCAGAGGAATATTATTGATTATACATTTTGTGCATATTAATTGGAAAGCTTGTATGTAGTTATTATTAATCGAAACATTATATTAATTTTATCTGGTAATATTAAATATTCATAATATTTTGCCGTGTAATAAATAACAACCATAACAAAAATATGCTGACATCGGAAGTTTATTTTCCCACACAATATTGGTTACGTAATATTACTATACACTCCAATTTAGCGAAAGCATCGTAGGCTTATAGTTTACCACCCCGGCTAAAGCAGTACTTAAGTTCGAATATAACCACAAAAAATAATAAATAGTTGTTCTAATGATAGTCTTGAATAATCAGCGAAATGTGCCTATATTCATGTCAGTTAATAAATTGTCCTTACATTACAGAATGATTATTAATATCAGTTCAATTCCCGCATTGTGATTTTAGTTGTACTTTCGTAATAAATATCACGGATTACATTTTGCTCTTCAATAACGTAAATTTTTAGATTCGTACAATGATTGCACATGTAGAAAACCGAAGCGAGATACTAGTTTATTTAGGGGTCATTCATAAATTATGCAAATTAATTTGATGATTTTTGACTTCTCCCCTTATCCGTTATATTTTGCTTAATAATTTCATTAAACAGTATAAAATTATTTTAAAAAATTCTTTATTAATTCAATATTTCATTGTAGTAGGTACTAAAGATTTAGTTTTTTTAAGTTTACCTTTTCAAATTTAGGCGACAAGGTCGCCTTTTATTTAGCATATTTTAGTAGTTTTCTTTTGTTATTATTTTCAGTGCACAATAAAGAGTCTTATTATTACTACACTAGATTTTAAAATGTAATATCCTAAAATTTAGGACCTTTTCCATCCCTAGTCACACTTCTCTACCCTTAAAGTGTGAGGTAATTTATAGATGGCGACTTATATCTCTATAAATAAATATATAAAGCATTGAGTAAACAAATTACTTACTTTAATCCACTGTTCCGGTTCTAGTAATGTGTCCCCTGGTTGTAATAGCAACTTAACCTTGCGTTTCAAAACGTCATCATTCGCTGCAAGCGTGTATCCCGATAGACCTTTTCTGACCTCAGTAGTCTGATGCTTGGAAAATATCCCGAATGCCTTGTCCCTTTCCAACTGTAAAGATAAATTTAAATTAACATTCCAATTTTAATTTAAAGCATATTTAAAATTACAAAGTAAATTCAGTTGAGTACAAAATTATAAGATGATTATTATTTTGAATCACTATCACTGTCACTTTTCGAATAAGTTTCTAAAGATAATATCTTAATAATATTATAAACTATTAAAACTACTAAACGTATTTTCACTTTACAGTAATATAGCGTATGCTTCAGAATAATATATAGCCTATATTTTATATTGACATTTATATATTGAATTTAACGGGGATGAAACCGCGGGCACAGCTAGTATAAGATAATTATCAAAACTTATTCTATTCAGAATAGTTAATTATATGACAGCCTCGATGCTCTAGTTTTTTAGTACACCGCCTTACTACCAGGGCTACTGTGGTCCAGTGTACTTAGTGTTGGCCTACTACAGTCCAGGGTTTGATTTGTTTTCTAATTTTATTATGTATTTTACCAGATAGGTAGATTGTTATATGTCAACAGCGTGGGTCAGACCGCAGTACATCGTATATAGTAATAAATTGCGACGTTTCACGCTTTAGGTGGGCCGTCTACTTGTTTCCCATTTCAAATATAATACATAAAAATTAATACTACAAAAAAAACGCGTAATTTAATACCCATAATACACGTTCTACTTAGTTTGGGACTAGATTAAGGTATGTGAGTTGTTCCGGGTTTATATATTCTGACGATTTCTTATAAATATTGTTTTATTAATGCAATAAAATGTCAATTTAAGGACTACAAGTACATTCAGCAACCCCAGTTGCAACGTTATAATACGAAATAAAAAAAACAGTTGACGCTTCTTATTTTGTGAGTTGATAAAGAGAAAATCTCCACAAAATAGATACATAGTATTATGCCAAACAATACTTCTGAAGTTAAGTATCTCCGAAACTACCAAGATATCAGATGTATAAATACAATAATATGTATAATTTAAAATTAATAATTTCATACAACAAATATGTTATCCAATACAATTACGATCATACAACAGATTACAGGCGTGAAATAAAGATCTATTGAAACCAATATCCATTCATTTTATTTCACATTATATCAATAGGTATTTATATCATAAACCATACTAGAAAATTTAAATTATTATATTTAATATATTAATATTGAAAGATTGTGGTAAGGTTTATTGAAACTGTCCGTATTTAATCATTTATATAGTAGTATCATAATTACTTACATACAAAATTTATTTCAACAAAAGTTATCAGTTTTAAATTTATGATAAAAGCTTTGATTGTATAAATTATTTAAGTTATATAAAATGCAACATTCAAACTAACGAGCGAAGTGGCATCATAATGTAAAGCAAATGTTTTGCTGCTTTTACCATTCTGCTGGAACCCTAATAACTACATTTAAATATATTTCTTTCTCAACTTCACTTTTTTCTATAATAAAGAAAAAAAAAAATAGATTTTATACTTAAACATTTTTACTTATAAATAATAATTAGAAGATGATTTTAAAAACATCACTGTCATCATTTAGAAATTGTATTGTGAATTAATGAACAGAATTATTCGATTCCAATATTCTGTTGAATATAAATATTAAATGTGTAGGATTTTTAGAATTGAGACATATGTATATTTACGTCAGTTTTATTTGCCAGAGTGATGCGTATCGCCTACATGTAAAGGTCACACCTTAAATTCTCATGATTGAGCACAATACGGATGTCGTAAACGCCCACATTAAAATAAATTTCCAATACATTTCCGAGGCAATTGTAATGATGTAAACATATGTCTTTTTCCCGAAAAAGAACATTTTATTTTAAATTTATTTATTCATCCACATAATATAGAAATATATTACGTATATTAAAGGCAGCACGATAGCTTTTATTACATAAATATCAAGTTTGCAAGGTACATATGAAAATAAATATGTTTGTACAAAACAAACAAAGAACAGCCGTCGAAATAGAAAAGCGACATATGCCAAAGTTCTCGTAAAAACACTTGTCAATAAATTTATATTCATGTCTCTAGGCTATATATTCGGTACCTATCGAACAATCTTCAAGGAAATAAATAAATGAAAGACTTCTGTCTATCTGTGTTTGTTGGAGCATAATATTTTGTAGAATTATTATGAAGAAAGAAAGATAAATGATGTAATAAAGCAACTATATATTACAGTTTAGTTACATGTGTATGTACAGAACTCCCGCAAACCACCTTATAATTGGAAGAATTATTTACGCTACTCATATATTATATTTCCTCTTATTACTATTTTACGTCGTTCTTCCCACGCGTAATCAATGTGTCCCCGTTCCTATGGGATTTAAGTTTTTGAACCATAGCGTTGGAACTTGTAACATATGGACATATGAACAGAGAAAGCCTCATTACGATAGGTTCTGATTTACCTCTATAGATCGGAACCCAGAAATTGAGTGATTAGGGTCCGAGGGTTTTAATTTCTAATTATCGGGAAAATAAAATATTTCATTTTTATACTTTAATCGTTTGTTAGGCAACATTACCTAAAGAGCTATAATATTATCACTGATTAGTATTCTGTATTTGAAAATCAAAAGTCGGCATATATATGAATTAAAATCTACTTTATACGCATCATAATAAGATTCATTTTGTTTCCAGTTATCGGTACTATTACGTTGATGTTACATTAAGTCCGAGAGGCCTATTAAACTCGCCGAGTTACACGAAATTAATCCTAACAGAATTCATGAAAAGCGGATTTTTTAACCCTAGTATTGGGCTACTAACCTTAATAATAAATATAGTGTTGTTAAGTAAAATAATTTATTGTGTCAATCGACTCAATCTTTCAGAGATATATATAAGAATAAAACAAAGTACAAAATATGACAGATTCAGAATTTGTAAATTTATTTATTTGCCATGTAAAACAGGTTTTGTTTAGCTCGTCAGTTATAAAATTATAAGTAAACATTAATATTAAGATAAATTTAAATTTGACTTTGTGATGTATTAATGTGACAAAATGGTATATTTAAAAAAAATATTTTAACGTTCTCATAAACTTCATTGGTTAATCGGCGATTTCTTTTGACAATCTATTGTACATCATTATTTTCAATGGCAGCTCTTTTTCACAATTTGATTACATAAAATAAAATGTAAATGAAACTGTAATGGTGTGTAAAAGCTATCCGGAAGGTGTCTATTTCAATTCAACGTCCCAGATATTTAATACTGCTGTTAGAATTTCATTAGGTAAATAAATATGTAAAACAAAACTGCTTGAATTTATGTCACTGCATTATTGTTTTCTCATTTCATTAAATCGTTTATTTCATAACAATTTGACCTGGATGCAAATTTTACAAGTTATAATAAATAATACAATAAGTGCACTTAGAATGACAAACATATAAGTTTTTATTAGTTTACCAGTTCTAGTGCAATTTCTGTCAATTTGGCATAAGAATTTAGCATACTGTGTGATACATTTTATACTATGTAGTATCTTTACATAGTGTAAAATGAAGTCGCATCCGCTGTGTATTCACTTAGATATTTTAAACAACGCAATGTATTTTAATAAAGTTTTTAGCAACAGGTAGAGTGATTCAAGAGGAAAGTTATATGTTTAATAAATGTACATCCGTAAGAAACCGGGTTGGATAGCTAGTTATAATACATATTATTATAGATTGTGATCTAAATTGAGCACTATTGTCTAACCAAGGAAAGTCTACCACGACAGCAGCTAGCGTTTAATAAACATAAAATTTCCTATAGAAATACATGTCGTAAAACTCTATCCAATTTTCTTTCAGCGGTTCTTGAGATTCCCGTATGTGTGTGACACATAATCAGATTATATCCCATATAAGCCACCATGAGAATAAACCCGATACCGCGCGTTTCTGCAAGATTCATGGAGAGTTAAAGACATAGTGCACTATTGATATTAAGGTCATCTGTTGAAGAACTAATGTTACTGGAGTCATTCGACGCATTCGACTCTAAAACCTTACAATATAATTATTCAAATAATATATATATATATAAATAATATATATATATATATATATATATAAACACCTCTTTGGGCACTTTGTTGATCACGCCACAACCTACACACTTGCTGATTCCACCTTTTGCACTGAATAACTTGACTCCTATCGCGTATATCTCAGGCGGTATGGCAACGTCGCATTCTATTTTGCGATGTGGCCATATATATTCGTCGATAGTACGATATACTCGACACTTTTTTTACTAATAATTCGTGACTGAATGGCTCCGAACGGCTAAATTTTTGGTATACACAAAGACTTTTTGGCTCTGAATATATTCCAAAAATCAATTAATTATGTTGATCACTTTATATACTCGTCGTTACTGCGATACTTACTTTCATCCGAATATATATAGATACCGTAACGGTCTATCAATTATGAATTTATTAATTTACTAATGTAGATATTTTATATTCGCAATGCTCCATACATGCAAGCTCCAGCAACGGTGGAGGCAGGGTCCCCCCTGCACCGTACACCGCACCCCGCGCACACAAACAAATTAGATATTTTTGAATACACAAAGACTTTTTGGCTCTGTATATATATTTCAAAAATCAGTTAATTGTGTTGATCACTTTATATACTGGTCCTTACTGCGATACTTATTTTCATCCGAATATATATAGATACCGTAACGGTCTATCAATTATGAATTTATTCATTTACTAATCTAGATATTTTATATTCGCAATGCTCCATACATGCAAGCTCCAGCAACGGTGGAGGCAGGGGGGAGCACCGTACACCGCACCCCGCGCACATAAACAAATTAGAATAAATTAAATTCATAAGATTATTTATATATTTCGACTGCCTCGGTGGTCACACCGCTTTACATCCGATGGTCGCGGGTTCGATTTCTCGCACGATGCAAACATTTGTACTCATCGGTCATCGATTGTTTTCATCGGTCTGGGTGT